AAAGAAAGAAAAATCAGGTTTTCATATGCAAATGGCTTATCTGCTACAGTGTTCGTGTAAATTTTTTCTATCAAACTAAGAGAGTTGAGTTTAAGTCATTCGGACGTCGTTAAGGTAAATAAACAATGAAAAAAAGCTTTGTCGCTAGTTATAAGATCCGAAAAAAATAAAAAAAATCTATCCATTAAGCCCATTCCTCAGAAAAAAAAAAAAGAAGAAGAAGAAATCTATCCATTAAGCCCAAACCAAACATTCTTAACTAACAAATAACTGTGGGATTCATTCACAAAAAAATTTTAAAAAAAAATTGTTGGATTAAAATCCACAATAATACAAAAGCCTTTTCCGATGACTTGAGTGGGGGCAAATCAAGCCCGACCCAACCACATAAGCTTATAGGCCCACAAATTTTAGAGAGACTTTAACCAAGAAACCTAGGAGTCGACGTGCAATGCAAAGACAATTTTGATAAAGCCATAGATAATTATCTAAAGAAACATAAGTGGATCAAAGTGCCCATTCATAGCTAATGTGATGAGACTTGGGTTGTGACTTGTGCCTTAACAAATAACACAACAACCTTCACTACATTTGCTTGGGAGATGATAATGAGAAGAGTTTGTTGTGAGCATTGCAAACATTAGATCCCACATTGATTCGAGATCCGAGGTTTTAGAAACAAGACGGGTATAAGAACTCTTGTAGAATCATTAAACATCAATGACCTTGGTAGACACTATTGTACAACCATTTTAGGTGCTACAAAATTCCTTGCTCTGTTTGCATTGTGCTGGTTTTTCCGCTGTGGGGTCATAAAAATCCAGTGAACTCATTACCATATGTGGTGCCTAGGTTGGAAACTCACGATCTCATTACCCTTCTCCTTCAATACCAAACAAGTCGATTATGGTTCACCCTTCTCCTTCAATACCAAACTTATCCACTTAAGAAGCAGTTACCATCCCTAGATTGTTGGTTCATTTAACTTTTCAACTGAGTCAGAGGATTTTTGAAGTATATATTTTTCATGAGCTGATTTTTTTTTTTTGTTGAAAAAGAAAAATTTTATTTAAGCCACTCGCCTAATAAATTGTATGATTTTTTCAATTTTGATTTAAGATGGAGTTGTTATGAACTCCAATTAACTTTTGTGTTAGATTTTTGAATTTTTATTTTAAACTTGCAATCGTTCTCTCTTTTTTTGTAAAAAAAAAATGTCTTTTTGGTTTTTTTATCACTAATAAAAAAATTACAAGCTTTTAATCACCTGAAGGAAGGAAAATTACAATATCTCATTTAAAATGCCCAAAGCAGAATATGATCAACGTCGCCTGCGCCTAGCTCTACCAGTACCACTAGTATTAGAGCTAGAGGTGCTTGTTTCCCCAGAATTAGAGTCTCTAATTCTGATCCGTTGCTGCAGGTGAGTTTGCACCCTTCCTCGGAGAGTTCCCAGCGCAGCATAAAATTGCTGGAACTCCTCAGGGCTCATCTTTTCCATCCGTTTACTCCACCATTGAACCCCTTCTGCAGCTATCTGATCAAAGCTGCTCCCACTCTGCTGATCCCCAAATACCTGAGAAAGCAACTCGCCATCATTCAGATTGGCGAGCTGATCGATATTGTTAACATGGGGGCAACCCTCCTGTGGAGGGTTGAAGTTGAAGGGCGGGTGGGCGCCCTGGTTGAAACCCCCATTCCCCGTGGATTCGAGAGTATTTCCACCCTCTTCGACACCGCATATGTTAATGTGTTCATCTGAGTTTTTATGGAACCCAGATCCATGTTGTGAGGACGTCACCTTGTCCTCTGTTTCCTTCATTTGACGCTCATCAATTCCCTTTCCCTCCATTATTGTTCTTGAATTTTTTTTTTTTTTGATAGGGAATAATTGTTTTTAATTGACTACATGAAAGTGGAGTCGTAGGGTTTTGTATATATATGCAAAAAGTGGTGGGCTGGATGCTACTAGAAAGAAGCAAAGGGGTCTGCATTTTCTTGAAAGAGAAAGTTCTAAATTTAAAAGGTAAAATCCAATCTGTAATTTCCTTATTCGATGGCATATTCTGTAAACTGCAAAAGTAAAATGGAATATTCTGTGCGGTGAGTTATATACAGGATGAATGTCCCTAAAAATTATCTTTTGCTAAGATTTTTTTATTCTGTCTTTGATTCCTTTCCAAGTTCAGTTGCATAAAGATTTTGTTACTCTCAATATATGTATAAACAAAGAAAGAAAACCAATGAGCCTTTCACCACGCTTCTCATTGAATGAGAAGCAGGTGCAGGCGCCCGCATCATCAGGTTGAGTCATAGACTCAACATTTCCCCTTTTCCTCGAACAAATATTAATATTACTAATGTAATATCAATGGTCAAAAAAAAAAAAAAAAACCAAACAAAGAAAACCAATGAGAATTTGGTCAAATTAATATCCATAAACTTTAAAATTTTGGTTGAATTAGTACTTATAAATTTAAAAACCTTAATTTAAGGTTACAATAAAAAATTCTAATCCTATTTTGATCTTCTACTGTAACAAAAGCTTCTATTTAGTCTTTTACTTAGAAAGTTCTTCTTTAGTTCCTAAAATTTATTATTTGGCTTCTTTTAGTTCTTTTATGATCGTTTTATACGTATAATGTGTTAGATGATAAAAAAAGAAAATATTTTTATCTTTATCTTCTTTTACTCAATCTGGTATGTATTTACTTCTTAAACCCCTAACATTAAATGTTTTTTTGCTGATAAAAAAAAAAA